CCCCCAAAACCACGGAATTCACTCAAATCCCCAAAATTCACCCAAAAAAACTCAGAATTTCCCCAAAAACCCTGGAATTACCCCCAAAACCATGGAATTCCCTCAAATCCCCAAAAACCCCAAAATTACCCCAAAAAACCCCAAAATTTTCCACAAAACCCTGGAATTACCCCCAAAACCCCGGAATTCTCCCCAAACCATCACAATCCTCCCAGTTTTCCCAAATTTTTCCCAAATTTTCCCCATTTTCCCCAGATCTTCTCGGAATTTTCCCATTTTTCCCCATTTCCCCCAGATTTTGCCCGTTTTCCCTGATTTTTCCTGGATTTTCCCCATTTTCCTGGGATTTTCCCCATTTTTCCATCAATTTTCCCATTTTTCCCATTTTTTTTCCAGATTTCCCTTGTCTTTTCCCCGTTTTCCTGGGATTTTCCCCATTTTCCCTATTTTTCCCATTATTTCGCCATTTTCCCCATTTTCTCCCCATTTTTCCCCATTTCCTGATGGAATTTCCCCAAAATTCCCCATTTCCCCCCCATAATTCCCTCATTTTTTCACCGTTCTTCCTGGCATTTTTTCCAGGATTCCCCATTTCCTCCCCAAATTTTTTTCCGGTTTTTTCCATTTTTTCCATTTTCTCTCAGTTTTTTCCCATTTTCTCACTTTTTTCCCGCGTTATTTCCCATTTTCCCCCATTCTTTCCCATTTTTCCCCCATTTTTCTCCTCATCTTTCCCCATTTTCTCCCCCATTTTCCCAAATTTTCCCAGTTTTTTTTCTCATTTTCTCTCCATTTTTTCACCATTTTCTCCCCATTTTTCCTCCATTTTCCCCCATTTTTTCTGACTTTCTCCCCATTTTTTCCCATTTTTTTCCCCATTTTTTCCCATTTTTCCATGTTTTTTTCCCCATTTTTTCACCGATTTTTCTCATTTTTTCACCATTTTTCACCGTTTTTTCCCAATTTTCCCGTTTTTTTCCCCAGAATTGCTGTGCCGGACTGTCGATTCCTCTCGCCGCTGTCCCTCGGGATGGCGGAATTTTGGGAGCAGCTGCTGCTCCTTTTTCCCCATTTTTTCCCCATTTTTCCCCGTTTTTTCACCGATTTTCCCCGTTTTTCCCCATTTTTTCCCAATTTCCTGTTTTTTTTCCCCAGAATTGCTGTGCCGGACGGTGGATTCCTCGCGTCGCTGCCCCTCGGGGTGGCAGAATTTCGGGAGCAGCTGCTGCTCCTTTTGCCCCTTATTTCCCCATTTTTCCCCATTTTTTCACCGTTTTTCCCCGTTTTTCCCCCATTTTTTCCCAATTTTCCCATTTTTCCCATTTTCTGCTCATTTTTTCCCCATTTGCACAAAATTTGCTTCCCGTTTTCCTCCATTTTTTCCCCCATTTTCTCCCCATTTTTCACCATTTTTTTCCCATTTTCCTCCATTTTTTCACTGTTTTCTCTCATTTTTTCCCCAATTTTTCTAATTTTTTCCCATTTTCTCCTCATTTTTTCCCATTTTTTTCTACCCATTTTTTCCTTATTTTCCCCCATTTTTTCCCCACTTTCTTTTCATTTCCCCCCATTTTTTCCCCGTTTTTCCCCATTTTTTTCACCGTTTTTCCCCCTTTTTTTTGCTGTTGTTCCCAATTTTCCCATTTTTTCCCATTTTTCCCCAGAATTGCTGTGCCGGACCGTGGATTCCTCTCGCCGCTGTCCCTCTGGATGGCAGAATTTCGGGAGCAGTTGTTTTTCCTTCTCTCGGGAATCGCGGAGTTGGGGCGGAGCCCGCGACGCCTGCGCCAAATTCGGGGCGCACCTGGTGGTGCTGAGCAGCGAGAAAGAGCAGGTGAAAAACCCCAAAATTCCCCAAAATATCCCAAAAAAACCCCAAATCCCAAATCCATATAATCCCCAAATTCGGGGCTCACCTGGTGGTGCTGAGCAGCGAGAAAGAGCAGGTCAGAAACCCTAAAAATTCCCCAAAATAGCCAAAAAATAGCCCAAAAATAGCCCAAATTCCCAAATTCCCAATTCCCAAAAATCCGGATCAAAATACCCCAAAATATCCCAAAAATACCCAAAAATACCCCAAAAATACCCCGAATTCCCAAATCCCCAAATTCGGGGCGCACCTGGTGGTGCTGAGCAGCGAGAAAGAGCAGGTCAGAAACCCAAAATAGCCCAAAAATACCCCAAAAATACCCCGAATTCTCAAATCACCAAATTCCCAAAAATCCGGGTCAAAGTACCCCAAAATATCCAAAAAATATCCCAAAATACCCCAAAATCCCAAATCCGTACAATCCCAAATTCGGGGCGCACCTGGTGGTGCTGAGCAGCGAGAATGAGCAGGTGAGAAACCCCAGAATCCCCCAAAAATACCCCAAAATATCCGAAAAATCCCAAAATCTTCAATCCGTATAATCCCCAATTCGGGGCGCACCTGGTGGTGCTGAGCAGCGAGAAAGAGCAGGTGAAAAACCCTAAAAATAGCCCAAAAATACCCCAAAAATACCCCGAAT